TGTCGTGGTGGTTTCTGGCTCAGTTTCCACGCTGTGAAGCGTTCGTAGGGCGGATTTGGCCCCTGCGTCTGCTTCCTCATTTCTATGTAGTCCCGAGTGTCCTGGTACCCACTTTATTCTTACCTGAGCTAGTCCAGATAATTCGCGAAACTTTCGTACTTCCTCGTGGCTGGTCGAGGACCTGCCCGTGCTCAGTGCATTTATCGCATGTCGACTATCCATCAACACATTAATACACTGCGTCGTTCCCTTCGCCAGCTACTCCTTCCCTCTTAGGTGACCCAACGCTGGTTTAAGAGCTTCCTGTGTCCCCGTAATCTCTCCATCTAAAGCCTCTCCACCGTGCTTTATGCCACTTCCTTTTTGAAAAGTTTTCCCATCTAGCTTTAGGACAAACCCCCAAGCTGAGCGTCCATTTCCTTCTGATGATCCGTCCGAGTAAGCACAGATTTCTGACTTTGGCACATTAGTGATCCAAAGTTTACAGGCTTCTACTTGGTCTTTTCTCGAACCAACCTTCGAGCCCGGCTGCGATTGATAAAATGGTGGGGCGAGAGGATCCGCGGCCTCTGCCTCTGGTAGCTGTCTATAAGCACGCTGAGCCTGTGACATTTGAATTTCAGGACGCACAGATTTTCGATTGTGCTTCTTATATTTTCGCGTACCGACATTTGGGCAAACTGCAGCACGGATCCTGAGCAGATGGTGGTCGTCAAGTGTTTGCATCCTGGCAAAGAGGCGAAGTCGGTTTCCTTCGAGAATGATTTTCCCGGTTGGAATTCTCTCTTCGCCATGTAGTACGGCGTTGGGAGTTGTCCTCATTACCGGTAGTGCTGATCTAAGACCCATTAAGACAGCCTTATCAATCATACTACATAGGCCAGCGGTGGGCGGTGTCACCATCCCTCGTACTGTTGGGCGTCTGAGGCCAAGCCACCAGAAGACAGCTCCGTAAGTTGCAATTGGGACGATACATATATCGATCGCTTTAACCAACGCCCCAGGAGCGGCTCCTCGGTAGGCTGTATTGAAGCGACGCATGTGCTGTGCAATTTTCAACGCTTTGCCACACCAGGTTGTGACTTGATGTTTGAAGTTTAGTCGAGGATCGAGGTACAGACCAAGCCAGCGGACATTTTGCGACGGTTCTATGAGGGTTCCGTTGACATAGATTCCAATCGATGTTCCGCGGTATCGTCCGGGGAATTGTACGACTTCGGACTTGTCTGTATCGAAAGCGACGGCATTATTTCAAGCCCAGTCTAGTAGGTTATTGACCTCATCCTGTGCTGCGGCTGCAGACTCTGCAATCGTCCGGTCAAGTCCAAGGATACTGATATCGTCGGCGTAGCTAAACCTCAGACCCGGGGTTCCACTTCGCATGGGCTCTGCCATATATAGAAGGAAGATAAGTGGCGAGATCGGTGAGCCCTGTGGAACTCCGCACACTAGCTCTCTCTTGGCAGTGACTCCCCCAGAGTATCACACTTGAACCATCCGATTGGCGAGGAAGGAGCTAGTCCATTTGAGAATAGACTCCGGCCATCCCTACTCCTGCATCCTCCTTACTAATCGATTATGGAGTACCGCGTCGAATGCTCCTTGAATGTTCAACGTTACAAAAGTAGCTGCCCAGCCTTGTGAATTTGCCTCTTCGATGTCTTGGACCACACATGAGACCAGATCCGCTGCTGAGCGCTTCGGCAGTGCATCAAACTGTTGCTGGCCGACTACATCATGGATAACTGCAAGGTGTGCCATCCGCTTAGCTAAGAGCCTTTCTAACCCTTTTCCCAAGCATGAGAGAAGAGCGATTGGTCTCTAACCCTTGAAGTTGTTGGGTCTCTATCGTTCTTTTGAAGGAGGACAACTTCAGCTAATTTGAAATTCTTTGGATGGGTGCCAAGTAGAATGCAAGCTCGGAACAGTTGGGAAATCCAAGGCCCGATTGTATTCCAACACGCCTCCAGCAGGTTTACGGAGACTCCGTCTGCTCCTGGGGCCGTATTTCCGCAACCAATGGTACAGGCTCGGACTTCTTCATCTGTTACGTCCTCTTCCCATGGTATCCAACTGCTGCTCGCGACTGTAGATAGTGACAAGTCGTCTGATGCCTGAAATCGTGCCAGGAGGGAGTCGCGAAGGATCGTGGCCCGTTTTAATGGATCTGTTATCAACGTCCCATTATGGTTCAGTGGCGGAGGGATACTAGCCTGTCTGGGGTTATCCATTCTCATTAGCTTGAATACATCAGTCGGCGTAGTAATTGGTTCGACCTGTTGGGTTTTGAACTCCTTTTTCGAGGTCTTCACAACTGATCGGAGCTTTTTCGCGCTGAGTGCCCGTTGGCTGGGAGTTATCGCGCTGTTGTACTCAGCAAATGCTGCCTTGCACTCTGGGGCCCACCACGGAGCAGATATACCGCAGCGGGCTTTTGGTCGTGTTCCTACTGCATTGATTGCATTAGTGAGATGGAAACAAATTTCCTCGGCATACTCTTCAACCCTCTCGATTGTGTCAAGAACTGGTGGTGGTCGGACCCACTGTGCAATTACCTTGGCGTATCTGGGTAGCTTTTCCTTTGTTACTCGGAGTTTGGCCTTTTCGGGTCTCATCACTGAGTTGCGAACTGGAATTTGTCCTCGGATAGGGAAGTGATCGCTGGTGACACATCCACCACGATCTACCTAAGCACGGGCGCCGTCGATATTACTCCAAACTAGATCTAGCGTGTTCCCAGCTCAGTGAGTGGGCTCCCCAATAATATGACAAGTCAAATGTTGTTTGTCTGCCCATTTATCGATCATTTCTCCTTGTCCATGAGGACGTTCTACGCCAGGTTGCCAAGCCCAACATACCGAGTAAAAGTCCCCTGCAGCGACGGAGTTTGGTGGTGGAGTCCAGTTGATGAGAGGCTGTATAGCTGTCGAGTGAGTGAGTGAGTATTTATTGTCCTAAAAAGTCTACAACTATGTAAGGACATGTAGGTCTTTTCTGCCTATAGGCTGGGAGTATATATGCCTCGGGTAGTGTACTCCCTCCTGTGCCTCCTCATTGACTTCTTTCCAGCAGAAATACACCCACAGATCTTCATTCGAGTACACACTAGGAGAAGCCGTTATCCCGTCATTACCTCCCCTCTCTAGCCAACGAAACGATGGCCATTTGCGGGCGTGTAGCTGCAGGGAAAAGTCTCAAAAACTACTGAGTGCGGGGCTCTTCTATTACGAAGAGGCCGGCCAGCCGAGGGCAGCAGACCTGTGTATACCTAAGAGTGTCTCTCGACCTTCCTAGCCTCCTCTTTACTCCTCCCCTGATTCATGCCGCAGGACAGATCAAAGGCCGTGAAAGGATGTAAGAAAAGTCTTGGTTGAGAATGACTGTCGTGAAGGGGCCTAGCCTAGCATCCAAAAGTCGTTGCGGACGTGGGGTCGTTGAGTAACTCATGTATTTCAGACGCCCTCCTGGCTAGTAGATTCGGAGGTATAGATTAGTAGGGACGATATTGTAGACGAGTCGAAATCTGCTTTTCTTGAGGGCGGAAGGGTCTTCTACTTTGCTTTCGTGGGCTTTTTGTTTGCCCGCCGGTGGGTAGCTCATATTGTGATATAACGAGGGCTTCTCTGACTACCGTTGTAGCGTTTGGTACCGCATTATCTTTCCTCACTCCCAGCACCATTATCGTCGTCTTGGTCGTCTAATGTGTAATCGGAAGCGTATCTTTGACGGAGGGGGAGATAACTCAGCTCAAAGTTGAAAAGGTGTTACTAAATCTCGGCTCTGCAGACTTCACAGTGAGAGCTGGGGGTTCGTAGGGGACAACACTGACAGGTATCGGGAATAGTCCCTCTATAACTAAGGCATATGTAAATAAAAATGCGCACCTCTCCTGGATGGGCCGTAGAGTTTTTAACGATTTTTCCTACGCATGCAGATTCTATCGCTACCATTTTTTTGGGTTGAAGGGTCCGTGGAAAGGTGGCTGAATGCCACGGGTGAGCACTTAGCTGAATGGCTATCAACCACTGGCAATGTACCAGAGATCTTTAAGTGACAAAAGAGGATAGGAGCACCATACAGGATGTTACCTGGGTCAGAGAGGAACCGAGTGTGCGAGATAGTTGTAGGCTCAAGCAGCACAATTTATTTATCCACATTATATCACATATTCTCCCGATCATATCATTATTATTCTACTCATAAAATCGTGCCCATATTTTTTGAGACGCCTTACTCACCGGACCCATACCGATTTTCTAACACCATAACACACTGATGCATCCGCATTCTTCATTACTACATAGATTCACATATCACAATCTAAACATAGCTATATTCTAAGGTTGTGGAAGTAATAACCCATGTGGCTACTAACGGCGATGATGATATGAAATTTATTCCTAAGATCCTAAAGAAGCTGAGGCATGAACAAAGAGAATCTTGTTCATTAAAATTCTCCATGCAGCGAGTGAAAGTCGATGCAATGTAGACCTGGCGAGTCATGGTAGCTCCCCATAAACTCCCTCTGTTCTTTTTTCCGTCAACCCGAAAACATCCTGACAACGGTTCGAAGAATTCTTGCGAGCTGGGCCTATCTAGGGCTATTCCAGCTAATTCTGCCTACTGGGTACGCGTAGGTGATTCAGATGTGATAATCTAGCATCTTTTGGCTCGGGAAACGGCAAGAATGTTTTGATAACGCTAAATATGGACTATATTCTCAGCAAGCGTGCACTCCGGCCAAAATCAGTACAGGTATCATCTATCTGAGCAATGCTAGCGGCTCTCGCTGAGACGTATGCTAGAAATTTTTTCCTACGTGTACTGAACATCCAAGCGATCGTTGACCAAAAGATTTTGAGATGAAATAATTACAAGTCTTTGAACGGGTCGAGGGTATGTTCTAACGGTGAATTCATTGAAGGGCATCATGCAAATAGTAAAGTGTTGATAAGCTCTCCCCTATTATAAATAACAAATAAGCCGACCCTTACACTATATCACGGTTCCTTAGGTGCATCACAGAGCAGGAAGGCCGTAATTGAGATGACTTTGAGGGTGTGAAGGGTAGGTAAGGATCTAAATTCTTTTCTATTCAAGGCTTCAATTTGACCTCTAGAAGGCACTGATTCCACGTCAATATCGTGATTGCTTAGTGAACGTCTGATTGAATTCATGAGTTTAAGTAAATCTGGATTATTTTTGAAAACGAAGTCGTAAATGATTCTTCCATTATTCTTTTCATTGCCGATGGGAGTCAATAGTTGCCAATATCCAGAATCGCCCCAGTAAATCTGGAAAACGTAGAGATGGCCTTGAAACCAGGCCAGGACATACTTCATCGGTTCCTCTTGATCACCCACAGACATAATGGGCTTCCATACGTCTTTTGTAAGTCGAACGGGCCCTCTTGCATGGATAGTTGGTACCCTGGTATTTTCATACGGGGCATAACACTTAAACCTCCCAGTGACTCGTAGTTTTGACTTTAAGGCCAACTGAGAAATTATGGCGTGGGTACATCTAGTGCTCTCCAATCTTTCGATTTCAATCTCTATCCTGGGATTCGAATTTAGTTTATAAATTTGTTGCTCACAATTATCATAATCCCCCTTATTCTCAGCAAATTTTATGTCTGGCTGGTAAAGTAGCTTACTAGCCTGGGGAAAAACGTTTTCGACAATTTGCTGCATTCCGAGTGAGAATGAACAGTATGCCATTAATGATGTGCCCGATTTCGATACTCTATAAGGTGTTACTAATATTTTTTCGTCTTGAGGTATCGGGAGACTTGGAGGACCTGGAGTGTAGTGGACACGATAATTTTGTTCATTATAATCCCCTACCATTACTACACGGTTCCACGGCTCAGTTAGGTTTGGAATAGCGGTCATTAAGGCAAGAACGCAAGTGAGTTTGTCCATGTTTTCGGCACGATCTTACTGTAAAGCGGCGCAAGTGTATATTGATTTCAAGGGAACGTTGACTGCAGCTTCTTTCGCAAGAGAATAGCAGAACTCCAGTTAGATTATTTATAAAATTCGAGCTCAGATAAGAGACATGGCAGTAGTCTCGTGGGCTATTGAAAGTGTTGGGTAGTAGGGTCAAATATCTACATACTCTTATCAAAGACGCCGCAGATTACATGCTGTACTAGCCAAGTGTGACGAATCAAGACAAGGATTTTAAGTAGAACTCATTTTACTGCATATTTTACATTTCTAAGAGAGTCAGAATATGGAGGATCTTGGTTTTTTGCATTCGACCCGAACCAGCCGAGGCCCACTCGAGTCAAGCACATCTGTGTAGCTAAGGACGCAAATTAAACGTCAAGCTTTTCAACGGATCGATCGTCTTTCCAAGAGCTCTGCTAGAGTACGATAGAGCTAAGACGACTCAATTCTGAACTGAAAACGAGAGCGTAAGTGAAAGGCGATCCGATGTGCGCACCATCAGCCAGTCTGGAGCTATCGCGACCAACGGAAGTCACCGAGGCCACGCAGCCATGTTAATATCACCTAAAGGCTTGGCGGTGGATTATATGCGATAATCGATCTTGTCAGTTCAGGCCATTTTATAGCCGGCGAAGACGAATGCGATATCCCGGAAGAATTGCATCCAAATCAAAGTCGAAAGCAGGCAAAATTATAACTCGAATGGACGCCTTCTCATTAATCTTAGTCCTAACTTCTTCACATGAGTCGTCTGGCTCGATTATTGCATGAACAAATTCGTCTCATCAACCGGTCGACGGGCCGCTCTATCTGCAAATGGGAGCTTGCATCACTAATAATCGGCTTTCTCCCAATTTAGTTATATGATTATGTGTATACTCGTAAGAAAATAAGTAATATCATAGGAAGCTGTCACGGTTCGAGTGTCGATGCTGGAGCAATCAGATATACGAAGGTAGTTTATAATTTTCTCTATGGCTATCTATCAGAGCATTACTCCAACTATTTATCATTTATGAAGATATCTTGAATACTCGTTCTTAGCTGATGTCTGCTTCTCGTACATTCCACTTACAGTAGTTCCGAGCCTGCTACCAATTACTAGATTATTCCAGTTACGGCTCAACTAATCTGGAATAAAGCTAGACTACTGTTAAATTATAGAAACACGTGATTATAATCACGTGCCACACAACAATCGGCTCACAAGCGGGTACAGAAGCTCGCTGCTTGGATTATGGGGGAAACTGCTTCAATTGAACTCTCCAACTTGAGGGAGGATAGGCAGTTGGAACTGACATTACTCGACTATGGGGCTCTAATGGTCACCAGGGCTACGGTTTCGAATAATCCTACCAATACATCAAAGCCGAACCACGTTTCCTCCAGACGATGGAGATGTGAAAAAAGGTTCTGATCATTACGACAACGGTCCGCACTGGTCGAGGCTTTGACGTAGGCGTTAAACCTCTTGAGAAAAACATAGAGGATTTACGGCGAAGTGTAAGGCATTGAGGTAGGAAACTTTGCATCCATTTTTTATTAATATTCTACACCGAAGATTATGATATTTTCATCGTGACCGGGCTCTACCCCAGCACCCAGATGATATGGCACGGGTAGTCTGATCTATATAAGACTCTTCGCGACCTACGTCATTAGCTTATGGGGACTAGAAGCGCAAAAATAATTATATGAAAATGGGATGCTAGCGCTCTGCACTAGACCTTAATCCTATTATGATTGGTATATGATTTGGGAATGGATATTTGCGCTGGAACAGCTGAGATAGTTAGTGGAGAGATATCTTCATTAATGTGCAGAAGTGAGGTGACTATGATAATTATTATGTTATAGATTTGGGGGAAGTTCGTCCCTTATCCCCTAGCTTGTTCGCTTGTAGACCAATCACGTAACTAGTATGCAGCGATCCAAGGTGTGCTCCCGACTAAGCAGCCATGCCGTTTGTCCTAAACTAACGACCCATTTGTCATACTGTACACAGTACTACTCGTAATGCCGTTATGTCGAAACTGGATCTCCTTCATGCGCCATAATGCCATAATAACTACCTCTGCGCCAGCCACTAGATCTACCATACTACATAGCTGAGCATAACAAGTCCGAGTACCTCACTGAACTGCCTCAAGAAGCATTACAGTTGACCATTAGTACCCCTATTCACGACTCAACCTTGCTGTGACATTTTGTTACGGTTATTAAATGCCAGAATATCTGCCATCCGACTTGTCCTATCATATCCTTTATCATGGGACGCGTGTCCTTCGTTTCCGGCCTCCATTTGTGGATAGCCGATCGACAATCTGCAGAATGCTATGGCCGCATTTGCAGAGTTTTTCTTCATTCTAGTGTTGGGACGGTCCGTAATAGCTGGCAAAGTCGCCGTGTCTAGTCCTTGCCGCAATGAGACGGTAAATATGCCCATGAAGGTAAAGCTAGCGCTGGACGGCGTTTGCTTCGCATCTGTAGGTCCAGATCTTTTCTTATGCCACCAATCCTCCGCAAGTTTCTGTGTGCGGATTGTGACTTGGCGCTTCAGTGCTGAAAATGTCATGACCCCAAAAGGTTCTCTCAAGCTGCACACTGGTCTCGATAAATTTCTCCATCAAGAAATTCTAGCAAGGGCTGCCTTTGTCGTCGCAACGGTCTTGTCGCATCTTTCAATACCACTGGGCCCCGGAACACACTGAACTACCACGGCAAATTGAGCCTCATATAGTTCCATGAAATCCCTTACCTCAGACGGTTAGGAATTTTTTCTACCACATTCAAGGGCTCTGACCACTTCTTGATTGTTTTGATCCCTTGTTGCCTGTACTGCCTCCAATTTCCAATGCCGCATCTAAGTCTCGGGCTACCCCGGCTATTTCTGCTTCAAAGACCTCTGCTCACTGGAGAAAATATTCGCGGCTCGCTGTAAGTTCTTTGTCCCTATCTATAGCACAACCATAGGCTGAGTATGCTGGAGCTGTCGAAGACTCGTCCGAATATACACATAGCGCGTCGAAATATGATATATTGTGTAATGTCAGGAATAACTTATTTGTAAGTCTGGCTAATTAGACTATCACTTTCCCAATTCTACATCATTGTCATCAATACATCCCTCACTGAATGCTTAATACGCTATGGTATTTACTTCACACTAGAATTACAGCGGATGACTATGTCTCAAATGCAGGGGGACAAAACTCAACACCTGTCGGTAGTGTCCCCTACGAACCCCCAGCTCTCACTGTGAAGTCTGCAGAGCCGAGACTTAGTAACACCTTTTCAACTTTGAGCTGAGTTATCTCCCCCTCCGTCAAAGATACGCTTCCGATTACACATTAGACGACCAAGACGACGATAATGATGCTGGGAATGAGGAAAGATAATGCGGTACCAAACGCTACAACGATAGTCAGAGAAGCCCTCGTTATATCACAATATGAGCTACCCACCGGCGGGCAAACAAAAAGCCCACGAAAGCAAAGTAGAAGACCCTTCCGCCCTCAAGAAAAGCAGATTTCGACTCGTCTACAATATCGTCCCTACTAATCTATACCTCCGAATCTACTAGCCAGGAGGGCGTCTGAAACACATGAGTTACTCAACGACCCCACGTCCGCAACGACTTTTGGATGCTAGGCTAGGCTCCTTCGCGACAGTCACTCTCGACAAAGACTTTTCTGACATCGTTTCACGGCCCTTGATCTGTCCTGCGGCATGAATCAGGGGAGGAGTAAGGAGGAGGCTAGGAAGGTCGAGAGACACTCTTAGGTATACACAGGTCTGCTGCCCTCGGCTGGCCGGCCTCTTCGTCCTAGGAGAGCCCCGCACTCAGTAGTTTTTGAGACTTTTCCCTGCAGCTACACGCCCGCAAATGGCCATCGTTTCGTTGGCTAGAGAGGGGAGGTAATGACGGGATAACGGCTTCTCCTAGTGTGTACTCGAATGAAGATCTGTGGGTGTATTTCTGCTGGAAAGAAGTCAATGAGGAGGCACAGGAGGGAGTACACTACCCGAGGCATAGATACTCCTGTCCTGTAGATAGAAAGGACTTAAATGTCCTTATATTGTTACAAACTTCATAGGACAACAAACAAATACAAATAAATTTGATTTCTTAATATTCTAACGTTGACACAAGTACCTTTCTTTTCAAACTAAAGACATACACTATTAGGTTTGACTTTATTAAAAAATCATTGATTAGTACCCTTGCTCGCATAACTGGTGGACGAACTAGACATGGGCCTAAATAAAAATCAAACCAATCAAGTCCATAGTTATATGGATCGTACCCCAGTCATTCTGGCCCATTACCTTTTCTATCCATAAGACACTGTGTGGATCCTGAATTCCAAGTCCGAGCGAAATGCCAAGTCTCACGGCAAGCGAGCCGCCGAAGTCCCGATCCTAGGCGAGCCGCCGAGTTTGAGGTTCCATCAAGAATGCACCCCTCGCATTCTTAGGTCACAACCCGGGCGGCTAAGCACCTCACTTCTCCCCTACCGTATTCTGATATTTTACTTGTCATGTATCATGGATCTTTACATTGTCTGGAGTATAGAGGATTTCATGTATTTAAGGAGTTAGAACATTAATAGAAATACAAGTTTACACCCAGTCTCAAGCTCTACACACACATAATTGTCGTAGTCGGAGCCACGAGACATATGTGAATTTCACAGTCAACATTTATCATTTTATTCTTACTAACGTGCACAAGAAACCTCAACTGTGTGTGTTCAGTCATGACGAGTTCGGCAGCCCAGATTGAAAATAAAAGAAAAACTCCACGCGAAACCCCGCAATCCAAAAGAAAAATTTAGACAAACTCCCCTCCATCGTTTTTCCTCAGCTCCCAGTCGCTAAAGTATCAGTTCCAGTCTCTCTTTCAATGCCAAACCACTTTGGCTTCCGATTCACAACTTCCGGAACGCAAATATCCATATCATACCCCAACTAGCCACCGCGTTTGTTCCGCTCTCCTGGGCTTAGTCTCGAAACAGCGGCCATACACTTTTTCCGAACATTGTTTACATAGCTGGCCATCTCCTATTTGCTCTTTTCAGCTGATAGGCTTTCTGACACTGGGCAAATTGAGTAGCGGAAAGCTGATCGGATTCTTAAGTGGCTGTAGGTGCGGTAGGGCGTCGGGTAGTCCTTTAGGGATCGAACTGGACCATTACCTGACTGGGTTACGAGATGTGGAAAGGCATGATTTTTTTAATTAAAACTCAAATTTACCTGCACTGCTCTCAATCAGTGGTTGAACCATATCGAAAATTTGCAATTCAATCATCCTACCTATCTTGGCTCAGGTAGTTTAATGCTATAGATGGTTTTGTTGTATTAATAATTTAGCGCTAGATTACTTGAAGACTGGCCTGGTGCTTGTGTTCACTTTTGATCTGCTTAGGTTTCGTCAAACAAATCCATCTTTCTGTCAAATTAATCGGCTTCTCTCAATATTTGAAATTTAAGAATATAGTAGTTTAGTATCGTTAGAGATGTTTTGGAAACATGATTGAACTATTGGACAGTACATCTAATACAAGATTGGTGTAAAGTATTTGGATCGCATCGTTCTTCAGTTCTTCCATAACTGATACTTGAGGTTCCCTCAGCCCGCTGGAGTTATCTTTAGACGAAAGTTTCTATAGATCCGTTGACCCTATTCCGTCCATGAATATGTCTTGGCTATCAGGAAATCCGTTGTAAAACGGTGAATTTATACAAATTATCTGATCTCCTGAAGAGTCGTAGAGTTCAACGTAAATGTGTTCGGATTTCTGCCGTTTGTCAGCTTGACGCATTGCACGTGTTCCAAAATTTACTGACCACGTCTGGGAGACTTTCGACCATGAAATGGAGGTTCAGGTGGAATGGTGTAATACCAATTGGACATGAATGACCAAAGCTCTCTAGGAAGGGACAGATCAAAATCTGTTCAGAGTTAAGTTGTTCACCAGACACTACATCTCGGATGATGACGTATGAGGCAGGATCAAGAGGTCGGCGCAGTATTCCAGATATAGTTATGTCGATAGGGTTGTAACTTGCTGATGTTAGATAATACTACTTTATGCTGAATTTCTTGTGTGTCTCACGAAGTAGGAAGAAAGGGGTTTATGTCAAGATTTGATATGGAAATGCTGCTGTCCTTGTCCTCATCTGAACAAAAGTACAATAGATTGGATCCGGGTAATAAACCGTCAAAAGGGTCTGAGTTTGGAGAGGTGGATAATTGTTGATCCTTCTTCATACAGTGCGCTGCAGCAATTGTGCTGATCGCCAATGTCGCAAGAGTATTCAAAAACTTCATGATGATAGATGATAGGTTCAGGAGCGGATGATGTTTATCAAAAAGCGAGCAGCAAAGTCTCCCCTTATAATCTTCATAGCTTGCTACCTCGGGCTCGGATATAAACTACTGGCGCCAATTACATCACTCTAACTATTATGATTCATCTGTCGGAATGAGCTAGGTCCGATGTTCGAATCACATCTAAGACCTGACCAGTTACCAGGTCTGATCATTTTAGTTATTGTGATTGTCGTAAAGCCGGTGTATGCATCTAGATGGACCCGACCTATCTCCACAGCCATTACAGGCTACTGTGAATTCCCAACATAATTGGTCAGCGGAGTTTACGCACCGCTGTAATTAAGCAACTTTAAGGGCCATACTATTTTGAGACTTTGATCTACATCGTTAAAAGATCAGCTGTAATCCATCATTATTTGTATTCTCAAATGTAGTCATGATTAGCAACATCTAACAAACTTTATCATGTTGATCACTGCGACCAAATTCAGTAAGAAACCGATTTACCATTGAGGTGCATGCAAGCGATGGAGGAATCTTTCGAACGTCTCTTGTGCGCTGCTCAGTCCGCCCGCCTCTTTCAGCTGCCCATTTCCAGTGACGACCAGAGTGTATTTGAGTGAGGCAGGAAATTCCAGCCAGCGCCGGGCTGTAGGTGAAGAAATTCAGTTTTTTGAATCTTCATGATCGGTTCACGTACGTTATACGATAGTCATAGGCCTGTAATGACGTGTGCGGAAGGTTCAGAGCAAGTATTTATTTATTTTTCAGGTCAACCAAAGCCCTATCCCTGAGAGGACATGATCATCAAGCCAACAGCCTGCATGCTGCTAGCTTATTGGACAAGACTTTGGGCTATCCTGTGATTTGTGCCAACTTTGTGATGGGAGTTTGGCTATATGGTGCAGTCGCATGCCATTCGGGCCATGCTCTCTCAAGTAGACCCTTGGTGGATTGGACACTTACACCATTTGAGGTAGGAGAGAGTTGGTTCGAATCCAGTAAAACCAACATCACTATCTCTCGTGATTTAATCGTGTTTATGGGGTGGAGAAAGCACAATCGGATAACCGTGGGGTTTTCAGGCTTTTCCCCATTTTGGGTATGCATGGAAGAGGTCGACGCCTTGAGAGTTAACGTCGAGTGGTACGTGCAAAAGACATCCGAGTGTGAGTGTTGTTCACGGCATATAAAGTCAGCTGTCATAAAATAGAGAACTACAAAAAAACCTGTATGGGCCTTAAGGCGCCAAACCAGGATAATTGCATAACCTTTATTTTTGTGTGAGGGATTTATTTTTTGCATCAGATTATAATTGCGTATGCAGCTATCTAGGTACGACACAATATCAAAGAAAAGTACAGAATAAATGATTCAACGTAAAGGAAGAGCACTCGTGCCTCAGATTTCATTTGCAAGTACCACTGCGAAGTTATGGTGGCTTTTTCTTCACCCAAAGTCAACTCTCACCCGTGAATACCCACCCAGGGGAACGCCTCAAAAACCCTGAGTTATCCAGACGTACCTCCATCATCTATTTACTTATCTCAGCGCGAAATGTGGTCTTGGGTGTCTCCCTCTCAAGAGGCAGGCTCAGGCGACTCATCATTGACTTGTGTTTACAGTGTCAGCTGCTCTCTCGCAAGCAAAATTTTGGCGCGCACAAAGCTCAATTCGTAAAACTCTTGTAAAAATTCCAAATTTCAGGATTGCAAGACTGAACAACTGTACGCGGTGTTCTCTATGAACCTGTGAGTGAAATATTCTCCCAGAGCCAAGTTCAGTCAAATTCCGTAATATCAAAGAAGTTGGCCCACGAGGCAATGATTCAAATTACTCCACTACATCAAATTTTCACCCCCAAAGAGATCGAATCCTACCTAGGTATTATCAAGTTTACAAGGACGACCTAGTACATCTTCATCCCAATGGCCACACCTCTCGTCGACTTTCTCTGGGCTCAGTTGACCACCAAATACACGCCCACGCCGATATTTACACCTGACGGATGAAGCAATGCATGGCGCACAAATCTAGGAGATAGCTCTTTGGGATGGACGTGAGAGGGATTAGTACAAGTTTACAAGATGATGCAAATAAAGGACTTAACATCGACGGGCATGAAATTCCGAATTTTGGCAAGGAGTTTTACGAATTGAGCTTTGTGCGCGCCAAAATTTTGCTTGCGAGAGAGCAGCTGACACTGTAAACACAAGTCAATGATGAGTCGCCTGAGCCTGCCTCTTGAGAGGGAGACACCCAAGACCACATTTCGCGCTGAGATAAGTAAATAGATGATGGAGGTACGTCTGGATAACTCAGGGTTTTTGAGGCGTTCCCCTGGGTGGGTATTCACGGGTGAGAGTTGACTTTGGGTGAAGAAAAAGCCACCATAACTTCGCAGTGGTACTTGCAAATGAAATCTGAGGCACGAGTGCTCTTCCTTTACGTTGAATCATTTATTCTGTACTTTTCTTTGATATTGTGTCGTACCTAGATAGCTGCATACTCAATTAAATCTGATCGAAAAAGAATAATGAAGTTGAAGAGACTGAAAACTGGTGTTGAGAGCTATCGGTTAACACTTCTTCGTATCAGAGTGCTTTAAATTATAACTATTTCAATAATGTAAAGGACATAGATCTTCGCTTATGGCAGTTAATGTGAGGCTGGCCAGTATGGGAGTAACCATGAGCCTGGCTATTAAGATGGAAAAAGCCTCACTACATTCCATATCAATGATTGTCTTCAATGCCAATTAGCACCTACTCCGGCTCCTGCAGCTGTCTGTAGCGTGTACACGGGTTCCAGGTTCTGCCAACCAACTGGAACAAGAGGTAGGTTGGTGATTGCTCACTTTCTTGAACTAAGTACCGATGTGAAACTAGTTGTAGAAAAGAACGGTTAACAAGACGAATGTTAGAGGAATAGGAGACTCACCTTGTTCCTCATCTTCGAGTTGGAAGGCAAATGACTTCCGACACTCACGTTTGGGAACAGGAGGGTAAATTCTATCTGATATCTCCTGAGTAGCTAATAATGCCTTTTCTTGAACCAGTGAATTCTTAAATAATTGACCGTTATCGCATACAAAATACGGAAATTTGGTCGAGGCAGTTACTAGTTGTAAAAGACCGGCCAATGTTGCGGTTATAGCAGGGCTGAAGAACTTCATGTCGAGAAAAATGTACGTCCAGATTCAAAATTTGGACTAAGGGCAGTCAGCTGCCTGATATCAAGACCAGTGTTCAGTAACGAGGAATCACAAGATTAAATGAGCCTTGATTGTGGCCTTTTTCAGTTGTTGTTCTACGCCAATATTTATGATAGCAAGAGTGAAAAGAATGTTGGTCTAACATCTACATATTTTTTTCTCCCGTATACAAGCCACACATATAATTATATACTTCACAAGTCATGCTTTTATGACAACTATACATGTATTTAGATTGGTGGAGCCGGAATTGTCTTGGGTGTGTTCCATGGCGGATGGGGCCAGAGGAATGAATGAGCCAATCTCTCACTATGAGGCTCCTTTATCGATGATTAACTGACTAGAACAACTCGAATTTAACCATGAAAAGAAGGCTCAATTCTATTCAGCCAAGGGATATACCGGGATAATTATTTGGTCTCCAATCTTTTATCCAACAAACATCTATGCTAGCATGGTCTGTTGTCTAATGCTGATGGGATATTTTCCAGCTTGATAGAAAGAAAGACCTACTGATTAAATTGAGGAGCATGGAGTGTCTCATCATGCTTCACTCATTTCTCTGCACTGCCAGATTTGGCCATGGAGTCGAATCCATGGTTGTTGTTGTTGTTTATTGTGCTACTTGAGTCTATGACTATCTGGCACATTTGGCTCCACTCTGATCCAGGCCATACCTTGTGCAGTGCTCCTATCCTCATTTGTTACTTGCAGGATCATTGATATATTGTCCATGATGAATAGCTATTTAGCTTATTATGTACTGGTGGAATTCAGCCGTCTTTTACTGGGGGCTTTTAGCCACAGAATGAAGGCTAGCACGGAAACTGCGTGCGCTGGAAAAACCTCAAAAAACCTGCAGCCCCAGCGAGGCGAGGCCTAGAGACCGGGAACCCATGAGTTGCGCATATTCATCTACATCACCCTTCTTTATAAAATTAGAGGTCATCTTGATCTGATCCGCCATCTCCTGTTTCGTTGGAAATCTAGACTTAGTGTATATGAAGGTTTAGATTTCTCGGTATGATCACCAAGATCAATTGAATTTGAATTTGAATTTGAATTTGAAATCTTTAACGTGACAGGACGAACCCAACATCTATTTAGACGTGACACGGGTAGATGGGCCCTACGAGCTCATTGCTACCTACATGACCGGCATTAAAGCCAGAAACGACAAAAGAAAAATAAAATCACAGCAAATGTCTGAGTTACGGTGCCCTGCACCGTATCCCTATCTTCCAAACACCTCTCCTCTCGAGCCAGAAACTATCTCAGCATGGTCACTCCCACCCTGTCAGTTCTTCGGCAGACTGTAGCATCTGCTTATGGTTAGGAATTGGAAAAACTTCTGCCATCCCTTCTCCCCTATCATTTCCCTGACCCCAGGTGGAGTCATTTTCTCACAGCTTCTCCAACGTTGCAGAGCAGGTCGGCACTCTGAAAAATGCCAGGGCCTTTTCTCTCGGCCACAAATGCACATCAGATCTTCATGTTCGGGGTTGAAACGCCGGTGGTAGCCGGCGTAGTCCCCGTGGCCTGTTCTTGCCGCAATAAGACGGTGATACGCCCATCGAGGCAGAGCCAGTTCCGGCGGTCGCTTGCAGCGCATGTAGAGGTCGAGATCTTTGTATCGTTTAGGCCGATACTTCTGCCACCACTCTTCCACAAGCTTTTGGCTCCGCATTTTCACTAGTCTCCCTAGAGCCGCAAAGGTCAGAATTTGCTCGTCTCCGTTGGGCGAAGCTGAGGTTAGTGAGTGGTCATTGAGATCTCCCAGGGCTGATTTGGCCAGCTTATCGGCTTCTTCGTTGCCTTGGATCCCCACATGACCAGGTATCCAGTGTATTTCTACACGCCTATTATGTCTCAGCGATGAGAACTTGTCCACCACTGTCTGCGAGGAATTGGATCTTCCTTGTTCGAGCGCTCTGACGGCCGCTTGATTGTCCAGAAGAATGCTGACCGGAAAGCCTTCTCCCACCGCTAGTGCAGCCTCCAAGGCTTTCATAGCGCCAACAACTTCTGCGTCGAATACCTCTGCTCCGGGAAGCGGACCCGAGCCACTTCCAGCTAGTTTGCCTCCTTGGTATACCACATAACCCCAAGCTGATTGCCCGGGACCCGACGAGGATCCATCAGAGAAGGCACAGACTGCGTTGGCTGGAAGGGAAGTTAACCATCGTTTGATGCTTCCTGACCTAGCTTCTTTTTCCCGACTGCCTGGTGTCGATGCCGGGAGACCATGGGGAAAGTAGAGCTTTCCAGGGCCTTCCGCTGTCGGAACTTGACGCACGCTTATTTGTAGGCGTGTCATGTACCTTTCTGGCTGTCTGAACAAGCGATCTCGTTGTCCCGATCTAAGACCTAGGCGTTTTATAGTATCTTTCGGGTCCTCCGCCGCCCGAAGGGCTAGAGGGTGCCAGGCATCCATTCTTCGCATTCGAGCTGCAGACCGCAACATCTTTTGTTGGAGAATTATTGATGCCGGGGGAATTCCCGCTTCACGATGAAGAGCGCTATTGGGAGTGGTACGCCACGCTGGGAGTGCTACTCGTATAGCTTTCGTGATAGTTTTGTCCAGCAGAGATGTGTGCCACCCTACTCCAGTGCCGACTTCTTTATCTCGGATGGTGGTTATTCGAGAAAGACCCGGCCACCACGCTTCTGCCCCATAGAGAGCTGTGTTCAGAACGCATGCCTGTACCGCACGAATTAGAGGTCCGGGTGCTGCCCCGCGCTGAACTCCGTTTATATGTCGTAAAAAGTGGACTAGACGATTAGCTTTTCCAGTCCATTCCTGTACATGCTGCTTGAAGTTCAGCTGAGTGTCAAGCCAGACTCCTAACCACCGGATATGAGGCGACGGTTCGATCCGGCGATCTTTCACCAAGATGGAGAGGTTGGCTGTGTTGATTTTCTTCCTAGGACCTCCTCCGGTCACTAGAAGTTCCGACTTTGCCGGGTCAAATTCGATCCTGTGTTCTCTGGCGAGAAGGACGAGGCTGTCGAGGTCTTCTTGGACTGCTGCGATAGCTTCGGCCGCGGTGCTTCCAACTCTAATGATGGCTAGATCATCAGCATAGCCAAACCTGCTCGTTAGTCCATGGTCCTTAAAAAGCACAGCGATATAGAGCATGAAAAGAAGTGGTGACAGTGGCGAGCCCTGAGGTACTCCACATTCCAGCATCTTCTCGTCTGTGGTTCCACCACGGTATTTCACCTGGACTTTTCGTTGGCAGAGAAAGGTCTGAATGAACCGGCACAGAGATAGTGGCCAGCCTTGTTCTCGAAGGCGTTGGAGTAGTCGGTTGTGAAGGACTGCATCAAACGCACCTTGGATGTCTAGTGTGACCATAGCCGCACATTTTCCGCTTCTCATGGCCGCCTCAGCATCATGGATTACACAGGATGCAAGGTCGACCGCAGATCGTCCTGGTACTGAGCCGAATAATTGCGGATGAACAACTTGGTGACTTATCGTCAGCCATGCCATTCTCTTGCCAACTAGACGCTCAAGTCCTTTACCTAAGCTCGACAGCAGCGAGATTGGTCGCCAGCCCTTGGCAGTTGATAGATTTCGTCCCGGTTTGGGAAGAAGCACAACATCTGCCACCCTAAATGCCGTCGGAAAGTGGCCGATTTTTAGACAGGCCTGGTAGAGATCCTTGACCAGAGGCCCGAGGTGGTACCAACAGGATTTCAGTAAACGTACTGTTATTTTGTCCGCTCCCGGTGCCGTATCATTGACAGAGATGGTAGCGTTTGTCACATCTTCCAGTGATATTTCCGTATCCCATGGAATGCGCACCTCCTGTCCATTCTCCCAGGTTGGGATGTCGTTCTCGCTGCTAAATCTTGCCAAGAGAATGTCTCGTAGCGCACTAGCCCGCTCTCTCGGGTCTGAAAGCCACCGATTTTCCTCAATCTGCAAAGGAGGGGGCTCAGCTGCTGGTCGAGGCTTAGCCCATCTCATGAGCTTGAATACCTGTGCGTCAGTTGTAACTGCCTCCACTTGCCTCTTCCAGTACTCTCGCTTGGCTTTTCGCACAACGGCTCTAAAGCTTTTACGCGCCTGTCTTACAAGGTCCGGATTTTCTCTCGCTGCCTTGTAATCCTGCCACTTGATGCGACATTCATCGTTCCACCAGGGCCCGGTTTTTCCGCTTTCAATGGCTGGGACTTTCCCCGCAATCTTCAGCGCGTCTGCAAGAGCCTGCAGGAGATTAGCTGTGAATTTTTCGATGTCCATGACACTGTCCAGAGGGGCAGCTTTGGTCCATTGGCTGACACATCGGTTGAATTCCTTTAGGTTCTCATCGCTGACACGAGTGTTCCTTACAATTCCAGATAGGTCTGATACTGTAGGGTTTAAGACTGTACCCTCGATGGTCGAGTGATCTGAGGTACAGTGATACTGCTTGGAGACTGATGCTGTTGCAGCTGTGTTGCTCCACGTAAAGTCCAGCACGTTCCCATCCCTATGCGTTGGCTCTCCGACAATGCTAACTAGATCCATATCGTGAGCTGTTGCCCATTCCATGATCTGGCCTCCATTGCCGTACTGAATTGTCGTTTGCGGCTGCCAATGCTGTGACACAGAATTGAAATCGCCACCAACAACCACGAGTCCTCTGACTACCCACCGAAGTAAGGGCTCCAAGGTTCCACTGGTGCCCGGGGCACGATACACGTTGACGAAAGTCAGGCTGCCCATCTTTACAAAACAGTAGTCAGATGTCGGGCCTGATGACGGCGGAAAAAATTGAGTCGCACCAATGCCTTTGCGTGTGAAAGTACTCACGCGGGGCCGGACGTCTGTTCCTCCAAACGGTATGTGGCTATTGTATCCAGGGTGACTTTTGGTGATAAAACCCCCCTCTTTCTTCCTTGTCCATGGTTCCTGTACCATGACTACATGTGCACCGGCGTCCCATGCCTGCTGCAATGCTATATCTGTA